AGAATCTAACCAATGGCAGTGAGTTTGAGTTATACACTTGGAAACAAAAACAAAAAGCTCATGGGTCAAAGAAGAAATACATTGGAAAGTAGAAAATATTTAAAAGTGAATGATAATGAACATCTACTTTTGAAAACTTGGGAGATATATCTGAAACAGTCGTTAACAGATAGCATAATGCCTAAGGCACTTGACTGCTAACCAAAAGGCTGGTGGTTCAAATCCCCCAGCCACTCCTCAGAAGGAAGATGGGGCAATTTACTGCTGTAGTGACACCACCTCGGAAACCCAAGGAGGGATCGCTATGGGTTGGGTCCGACTCGACAGCACATAACAACAACATGGCAAACCCAGAAGGTTTTATAGGCAAATTCTATCAAATGATCAATGAACAGATAATTCTAACTCTACACTAAGTCCAAGAAAATCAAAAAAGGAAAATGGTTTGATCAAACCATTTCATGAGACTAGTATAACTATGATAGGAGACTCTAACAAAAACAACACAACAAAAGAAAAATACACACAACTCTCACTTGTGAACGGGGGTACAAAACTCCTAAACAAACCAATAGCAAGTCAAATCCAGGAATATATAAAGAAATATATATATCATTATTATGTACATATCATAACCAAGTTGGATTTTTTTCTAGGAATATAAGCTTGGTTCAATATTAAAAAACAAAAACTAAACTCACTGCCATCGACTCAATTCCAACTCATAGTGACCCCTCCTTGGGTTCCAAGGAGGTATCACTATGGAAGTAGATTGTCCAATCTTCTTTCCAGGGAGTGGCCAGTGGGTTTGAACCACCAGCCTTCTGGTTAGCAGTCTAATAAATGCCTTAGGGACTACGCCACCAGAGCTCCTCCCTGGTTCAACGTTAGAAAAGATACTCATCTCAGTAAAGTGGATTTGATCAAATTCAATAACCGTTCTTTTAAAAACCTTACCAAACTAGGAATACAAGAGAAATTCCTAATCTACTAAGCAGAACTTCAAGTTGTGAAGGACTTCCACAAAGGCTCCTGAAACAGATTGAATCCTATGAAGGCACAGTCTTTGCCACCCCCCTCTGTGCCACAAGAAACAGGGACTTGATGGATGAAGCTCCAGCACCTCCTGGACTATAAAGTGACCTTGAAAATGGAACTACACACAAGAGCACACAGAAGCAGAAAGACAAAAGGAACCCGGTAAACTTAAGGTAACGTTGGGAGGTCTGGTAGCATAGTGCCTAAGGCATTTGACTGCTAACCAGAAGGCTGGAGGTTCAAACCCACCAGCTCCTCCTCAGAAGAAAGGCAGGGCAATCTACTTCCATAGTGCTACTTCCTCAGAAACCCAAGGAGGGCTCACTATGAGTGGGATCCAACTCTCTTGATGGCAGTGAGTTTGGTTTGTTTTTTTTGGAAGGTAACATTGTAGATCAGTGGCAAAAAAAGGTGCCTACTCAATAAATGACACTGTGACAACTGAAACGAAAACAAAGAAATTGGATACTTCTCAGATTATATACCTAAGGAATCAATTCTAGATGACGGAATACTAAGCATGAAAGGCAAAACTATAAATATTTTAGAAAAAATATAGAATACCTTTAAGAGTTTGATGTAAGAAACCAGAAACCAAAACCAAACGCACTGCCATCAATTCAATTCTGACTCATAGTGACCCTGTTGGGTTTCCAAGGCTGTAAATCTTTACAGAAGCAGACTGCTTCATCTTTCTTCCACAGAGGAGCTGGTGGGTTCAAACCACCGACCTTATGGTAAACAGACAAATACTTTAACCACTACACCACCAGGAGCTCTGGTAGAATAGTGGCTAAGGCACTTGACTGCTAACCAGAAGGCTGGCGGTTCAAACTCACCAGCCACTCCTTGGAAGGAAGATGGGGCAATCAACTTTTGTAGCGATACTGCCTCGGAAACCCAAGGAGGGGTCACTATGAGTCAGGGCCGACTCGATGGCACATAACAACAACAACTACACCACCAGAGATCTTTTGATATAAGAAAGTATTCCTTTTTTTTTTTTT